TGGTTTGTGTGAGTTCTACTAGTTCCCTTTGGTTTAAATGAGTTCTACTAGTTTATGCTGGTTTGAGTGAGTTCTACTAGTTTAATGTTGGTTTGAGTGAGTTCTACTAGTTGAATGTTGGTTTGTGTGAGTTCTACTAGTTCCCTTTGGTTTAAATGAGTTCTACTAGTTTTATGTTGGTTTAAATTAGTTCTACTAGTTTATGTTGGTTTAAATTAGTTCTACTAGTTTATGTTGGTTTAAATAAGTTCTACTAGTTTTATGTTGGTTTAAACTAGTTCTACTAGTTTATGCTGGTTTGAGTGAGTTCTCCTGGTTTATGTTGGTTGGAGAAAGTTCTACTAGTTCAATTTGGTTTAAATTAGTTCCACTAGTTAATGCTGGTTTGTGTGAGTTCTACTAGTTAATGCTGGTTTGTGTGAGTTCTACTAGTTGATGCTGGGTTGAGTGAGTTTTACTAGTGTTATGTTTGTTTAAATGAGTTATACTGGTTAATGTTGGTTTAAATGAGTTCTACTAGTTTTATGTTGGTTTGTGTGAGTTCTACTAGTTCCCTTTGGTTTAAATGAGTTCTACTAGTTTTATGTTGGTTTGTGTGAGTTCTACTAGTTCCCTTTGGTTTAAATGAGTTCTACTAGTTTTATGTTGGTTTAAATTAGTTCTACTAGTTTATGTTGGTTTAAACTAGTTCCACTAGTTAATGCTGGTTTGTGTGAGTTCTACTAGTTAATGCTGGTTTGTGTGAGTTCTACTAGTTTATGCTGTTTGAGTGAGTTCTCCTAGTTTATGTTGGTTGGAGTGAGTTCTCCTAGTTTATGTTGGTTGGAGTGAGTTCTACTAGTTTAATGTTGGTTTGTGTGAATTCTACTAGTTCCCTTTGGTTTGAGTGAATTCTACTAGTTTTATATTGGTTCAAAAGAGCTCTCCTAGTTTATGTTGGTTTGAGTGAGTTCTACTAGTTTAATGTTGGTTTGTGTGAGTTCTACTAGTTCCCTTTGGCTTAAATGAGTTCTACTATTTTATGCTGGTTTGAGTGAGTTCTCCTAGTTTATGTTGGTTGGAGTGAGTTCTACTAGTTTATGTTGGTTGGAGTGAGTCCTACTAGTTTAATGTTGGTTTGAGTGAGTTCTACTAGTTCACTTTGGTTTAAAAGAGTTCTACTAGTTTATGCTAGCTTGTGTGAGTTCTACTAGTTTATGCTGGCTTGTGTGAGTTCTACTAGTTTTATGTTGGTTTAAATGAGTTATACTGGTTAATGTTGGTTTAAATGAGTTCTACTAGTTTTATGTTGGTTTGTGTGAGTTCTACTAGTTCACTTTGGTTTAAATGAGTTCTACTAGTTTTATGTTGGTTTAAACTAGTTCTACTAGTTTTATGTTGGTTTGCGTTAGTTCTACTAGTTTAATGTTGGCTTGTGTGAGTTCTACTAGTTTTATCTTGGTTTTAAATGAGTTCTACTAGTTTCATGTTGGTTTAAACTAGTTCTACTAGTTTATGTTGTTTTGAGTGAGTTCTACTAGTTTAATGTTGGTTTGTGTGAGTTCTACTAGTTCCCTTTGGTTTAAATGAGTTCTACTAGTTTATGCTGGTTTGAGTGAGTTCTACTAGTTTAATGTTGGTTTGAGTGAGTTCTACTAGTTCCCTTTGGTTTAAATGAGTTCTACTAGTTTATGCTGGTTTGAGTGAGTTCTCCTAGTTTATGTTGGTTTGAGTGAGTTCTACTAGTTTAATGTTGGTTTGTTTGAATTCTACTAGTTCCCTTTGGTTTAAATGAGTTCTACTAGTTTATGCTGGTTTGAGTGAGTTCTCCTAGTTTATGTTGGTTTGAGTGAGTTCTACTAGTTTAATGTTGGTTTGTTTGAATTCTACTAGTTCCCTTTGGTTTAAATGTGTTCTACTAGTTTTATGTTGGTTTAAACTAGTTCTACTAGTTTTCTGTTGGTTTGCGTGAGTTCTACTAGTTTAATGTTGGTTTGTGTGACTTCTACTAGTTTTATGTTGGTTTAAATTAGTTCTACTAGTTTTATGTTGGTTTAAACTAGTTCTACTAGTTTATGTTGGTTTGAGTGAGTTCTACTAGTTTAATGTTGGTTTGTGTGAGTTCTACTAGTTTAATGTTGGTTTGTGTGAGTTCTACTAGTTCCCTTTGGTTTAAATGAGTTCTACTAGTTTATGCTGGTTTGAGTGAGTTCTACTAGTTTAATGTTGGTTTGAGTGAGTTCTACTAGTTTGATGTTGGTTTGTGTGAGTTCTACTAGTTTAATGTTGGTTTGTGTGAGTTCTACTAGTTTAATGTTGGTTTGTGTGAGTTCTACTAGTTTAATGTTGGTTTGTGTGAGTTCTACTAGTTCCCTTTGGTTTAAATGAGTTCTACTAGTTTATGCTGGTTTGAGTGAGTTCTACTAGTTTAATGTTGGTTTGAGTGAGTTCTACTAGTTTAATGTTGGTTTGTGTGAGTTCTACTAGTTCCCTTTGGTTTAAATGAGTTATCCTAGTTTATGTGGGTTTAGTGAGTTCTACTGGTGTCACGCTGGTGTTCCATTGGGTTTTGCCTATCCTTGTTTTTACTGTGCTTAACTGGTTATTTTGTTTCTATTTCCAGTGCTTCATGCAGCAACACAAACATTGATCTCTATGCTGAGGCTGATTCCAGACCAGCCCACCAGGTCGACCTGATGGTTGCAGTCTCGTCTCTCAGGTTTCACAGCAGCTTTTAAAGATCAATACAGAAGCCTGAAGGGGACAATTATTTTAAGTGATGGATGTCAAAGAAAAATGGAGATGAATATTTAGATGGTACATTAGCAAAGGGCTGTATGTCCTGATGAAACCTTTCACCTTACACTTTAATGATAAGTGATAAGTTATCTGCACTAGCACCTTTCTGAGTCAGAGGACTCCAAAGCACTTTACACAAACGACATTCATCCATTCACACACTGATGGTGAGGAGTTACATAATTGCCACAGATGTCCTAGGACACAGTGACAGAAGTCACTAGTGTCTCCAGCCACAAACAGCAGAAGGAGGGTGAAGTGCCTTGTCCAAGGACACAGCAACAAACACAGAGGGAGCCTAGGTTCAAAACAGCAACCCACCAATTACAGGGTGAATTCATAACCCCTGAGCCAATCACTGCTCCACAAGGATGCACTGCAACACCAACAGCTGATGGTTTGGGCTGCTTCTCTTGCTGCAGAACTCAGAGTCCACCAGAAACTCCTCTGGATCCCATCAGGATCCAAACACATCAGCAGACCCAAGCAGCTGCAGAGTCCAGACCAGAACCTGGACTGGTCCAGTCAGAATGTCACCCTGAATCTGATGAAAATCTAAAAACCCTTCAGAAATTCAAGACAAATATTGCTTAAGGCACTTAAAACATCTCAGGAATGTCTGGTTGATGGATCAGAAGTTCTGGACTGGATCAGGTGTTTAAACAATGAATGTTCGCATAGCAGACTCTCTGGTCCACGTGACTGATATGATGGATGTTGTATATTCAGGATGACCTGGCAGAGCCCTGTCACATGTGTTCATGCATTAGTGTGTGTGTGTGTGTGTGTGTGTGTGTGTGTGTGTGTGTGTGTGTGTGTGTGTGTGTGTGTGTGTGTGTGTGTGTGCTCTATGTTCTTTCCCTGCTAGACTGCCTCTGACAGTATGTGTTTGCAGTGCCAACATGACACTGTCCAGTCCATTTAAGAAGCGCCAGTCATCACTGCAGCATCACACACACACACACACACACACACACACACACACACACTAGTCTTGCTTTCGTTGTGAGGGCCATCATTGACTTCCCTTAATTTTAGCGACTGGATTGTGCCAAACCTGAACCTTAACTAAAACTCATCAGTAGAGCTCTGTGAGACTGTCCCAAGTGAGGACCAGTAAAATGTCCTCTCTTTGGTACTAATGTCCTCAATTTGCCGGTAAAAGACTTGTTTTGGTCCTCACTTTGATGTATAGGCCAGTACACACACGTGCACGCGCACACACGCACGCACACACACACACACACACACACACACACACACATACCAGAAGAAACTAGTTGCAGGGATAACAATGTTTTGTTTGATTAGCTTCTGAAACACCCAAATTTACTAATCTATGTTTTTCTGTAAAAATATGAATAATCTCATTAGGAGCTTTGGGTAAAGAGCATTTAGTTGATGACTGTGATATTTACTCATTGAAATAACTAGAGGTCTGTGCAAATAATCCTGTAATATAAGCAAAAACATTTATGAGACAACCTCCCATCCACCAACTGGGAGGTTGGAGCTAATATGAGGCAATGTATACAAAACTAGCTCTTAACAGCGGTTGGCTTGGATTAGCTGTTAACGTAGACTAGATGTTAGCTCAGATTAGCAGTTAGCGCAAACTAGCAGTTAGCTCAGACTAGCAGTAGCTCAGACTAGCAGTTAGCTCAGACTAGCGTTGGCTCAGAAAAGCAGTTAGCTCAGACAAGCCATTAGCTCAGACTAGCAGTTAGCTCAGACTAGCAGTTAGCTCAGACTAGCAGTTAGCTCAGACTAGCAGTTAGCTCAGACTAGCAATTAGCTCAGACTAGCAGTTAGCTCAGAAAAGCAGTTTGCTCAGATAAGCAGTTAGTTCAGACTAACAGTTAGCTCAGATTAGCCATTAGCTCAGATTAGCCATTAGCTCAGACTAGCGATTAGCTCAGACTAGCCATTAGCTCAGACTAGCGGTTAGCTCAGACTAGCGGTTAGCGCAGACTAGCAGTTAGCTCAGACTAGCAGTTAGCTCAGACTAGCGGTTAGTGCAGACAAGCCCAGCTTGATGGGCATCTACTGTATTTCTGTGTGGTACAGAGGCTGAGGAAGCCAGCTACAAGTTATGGGTCGTTTTAGTTTAGTTTTAAACAGGAGCACACTTTTGAACAGCTGTGTAATCCTAATCGTATGCTCTACTGTGAGATCTGTTCAACATGAACCAAGGTTCTGAGAAAAGAACCTGAAGTTCTCACCTTCGTCTTCGATGAAGTCCATGATGGAGGCCCACGTCTTGTTGTTGCAGTAGAAGGAAGTGTTGGCGGGCAGGCTGCCATTGATGCAGTGGGTCGTGCTGCGGACGCATTTCTGCCGCAGGTTTCCCATGAAGAGCTGCAGGCCAATGAGGGCGAAGACGCTCAGGCAGAAGACCGTGAGGATCATCACGTCAGCCAGCTTCTTCACCGACTGGATCAGGGCACCAACAATTGTCTTCAGGCCTGAGGGACCACCGGGATGCAGGAACCAATGATCAGTGTAGCACTCAACATGAGCTGCTCTGAAAAGAGTCTGTTAAACATCAAACAGCTGGTGCTAGGTTAGCCAGGTGTTTAATCAGGTCAGACAAAGATGGCTGCCTTCTGAGCTGGACTGGAAACTTCACCTGGACTTGGCATCAGGGTAAACATAAAAACATCCTTATTTACATCAGCAGCTTTGTTTTCTGCACCTGCTAAATAAATTCACTTTTTAAAAGGAATTTATACTTTACACAAATCACTCATTTTTATTATCCTGTGATGAAATCACAGTGTTCAAATGACTTGTTTATGACTTGGATTTGACACGAGGTACAAGGTTACAACAATGACTTGGTCTCACCTCTCTTCTGGAGCTAAACTAAAGGCAGCCATCTTTGTTTGTGTTAACTTAATGGTGTAAATCTATACGATGAAAGTGACACAAGCTCACTAGTGACCTGTTTCTGTTCAGGTGAATCCTTAAATTCGCCCAGCAGAAACTTTCCACAGAACAATGTCAGGAACACCACACTCAGAACACAAAGGGTGCACACCCAAAGAGCAGGAGGCTGTTTCAGTTCCAGTCCATTCATTAGGAATAGACTGGTTGTCATGGAAACATCTGTAAACTGACAAAGGAATGCCCTTCATGTTTCTGCTCTGGTTTGGACTCGTTAGAACACAGCTTCTCTGTTAGCCGTTAGCACAACATGCTAACATGCAGCGAGTGGAAACAGAGGTGGAACATCTGGATGGATTTAATCTGAGCCACTGAGGAAGAACGTTCTACACGTTTAGTTTCAGTTTAATAAATAATCCAATTTTAAATGAATCCCATTTATGTTTTGGTTCAGCCCGGTTGTGGACAGCTAGCGGCGGAGGTCACGTGGTGTCTGTAGAAGTAAGTCACCTGTGGGCGCTGCTGGGGGCTGATTTGTCTTTTAGTGAGCTGGTGATGAGAGAAGCATAGAAAATTGTCCCAAATCTGCAGATCTTCTCGTTTTTACCTGTTGTGTGATGTGGATGCTTCAGCCATCTACAGATAGTCCAGAATGCAACAGCAAGATGTCTTTCAAACACAAATAGACGCTGTCACATCACTCCCATTCTGGCCGATCTTCACTGGCTTCCTGTGCACCATCGAGTGAAATACAAAGCCCTGAATGGTCTAGCACCTCTATATTTGTCTGAGCTGCTCACCCCCTACATCCCCTCCAGGTCTGCCGATCATCTACTGCTCCGCGTTCCCAAAATGAGATATAAAGCTCGTGGGGAGCGTGCGTTTGCTGCTCCCAGACTCTGGAATGTACTTCCTCTGATGGTGTGCCGGGCTTCTTCGCTGACGAGGTTTAAATCCAGCCTGTAGACCCCTTTCTGTCATTTAGCTTTTGGCCAAGGATTGGTCTTTAATGCTGTGTTCCTGTTTTTATTGGCAGTTTTATTTTTATTTCATGTCTACAACCATTAATTTAAATTATTATGTTTTTCTGGGTTGGGTTGGTTTGGATTGGGTTTGGTTGGGTTGGTTTGGATTGGTTTGGATTGGGTTGGGTTGGTTTGGTATAGTTTGGGTTGGTTTGGTTTGTTTGGTTTGGTTGGTTTGGATTGGGTTGGTTTGGTTTGGTTTGGATTGGATTGGTTTGGGTTGGTTTGGTTTGGATTGGATTGGTTTGGGTTGGTTTGGTTTGAGTTGGTATGGGTTGGATTGGATTGGTTTGGGTTGGTTTGGTTTGGGTTGGTATGGGTTGGATTGGATTGGATTGGTTTGGGTTGGTTTGGTTTGAGTTGGTATGGGTTGGATTGGATTGGATTGGTTTGGGTTGGTATGGTTTGGGAACGCTGATGGAACTTTTTTGATCATCGATAAAGGAGCTTAAATGGAATTCTGGACTAAAGGGGACCAACGGTGTTCTACGTATTGCCCTAATTAGCTGCTCAGTGACTCAAAGGTTAGACTTGCCAACTCACCCTTTTTGAAGAAATAGACGACGAAGACCCAAAGCAAACGTTGGTAACGCTAAACTCCCCAGAGTTAGTGAGGTGTTTATGATTCCACTGGTGTCTTTAGAAACATGGAAGATATTTTTTTTTTTTTTTTTTTTTTTTTACGTGTCCTGTCTGGCTGTGAAGCAAGCAGAATTGATGTCTGAATGCTGGTAACAAGCCTTACAGTTTTACTCTCAGGTGGAGCATCAGAGCAACATGGAAGATATTAAAAGTGACTACATGTAAAACTTGTTTTTTAAAGAAAATCCTGTTTAATTCCACTGAAAATAATCTGACGTTCCTGATAGAGACCAGGCTCCGAGTCGGAGACTCGCTGACCGGAGCTGTGACCTGGACTTGGAAAACAGCAGTTTCCAAAGAGTTCTGGATCCAGAACCCGTCTCCAGCCAAGTTTAACCCTTTCAATTCCACACCAAGTAAATGAATGAACATTTTGTTCTGAGTTTTCCTTCATTAGCAGCATTATTATATAATTATTATATAATAATGTTAATGTAACTGGTAATTATTAGTAATCTGGGAGATTATTAATCTAGACTGTAAAGCTCATTGGAGCCACAATAACGGGATAAACAGGTTTTCCTCCCCTGATGCTCTTTTGAACAACAAAGTGTCTCCAGGCTGCGATTCAGAGTCTGCTTATTGTTTTTATTTAACCTTTATTTAGCCTTTATTTAGCCTTTATTTAACCTTTATTTAACCAGGTGACTCGATTAAGAACTCATTCTAGTTTACAACGACAGTCTGGCCAAGAGGCAGCAGCAGACATCTGGGTCCTTCCTCGTGGCCCGACTCGCTGTCAGGACATGTTTGGTGTTGATGTCCAGCCTCTGAGTCCACCTCAGGAAGTCCCCCCTGCATCCTGCCTCCGGGTCTGCCCCTGACACCACACTGGTGCAGACACCAGGAGGTTGGATGCAGCGTGAGATCTGAAACACTTGGCTCCTCCTGCTGCCTCAGAAGGACGCGTTTCATATCTGCTCTCTCCTCCTTCTCACCTGGGATGACAGAGATGGTTTTGAGCGCTCGCAGCACCCTGAACGTCCTTAAGGCTGACACATTACCCAGGTCCACAAACTCAGTCACATATCTGCAACAAGCCGGGAGACAGAAGCACAGAAACACACAGACAACAGGATGTGACCACAAGGAACCACAACATGGAGGGATCAGACAGAGTCTGCAGAGACATGGAGACGGGCCAGGTGGACAGCTGACACCGCAGGGTCAAGCTCTGCTGGTAGAAGGTGAAATCAGATGTTTGAAGCTTCGACCTAAGCTGGATCTTCTTGTTGAGAAGATAATCATCAGCTGGGTTCTGCTCAGCTCAGATCTTCAGTTTGGGTCGAATCAGGAAATGAGACGAGAAAATCAGCTGAGAAGCAGCTTTCACCCCACTTCACGTTTATCATCATCATCATCACAGAGGGATTATCGTCTGGGAGCCATGTTTTAATCTCCAGTTAACATCAGGCGCTAACACACATCTGACTTCTCCTTTGAGACAGGTCAGGTGGTTGCACCTGAGACCTCTGACAGGGCAGAGACTGTGAGAGGGGCTGGCGCTGCGGGACACGGCAGACACTGGATGGACACTGGAGGACGTTCACAATGCGTTTGATAGGTTTGGCCCGTGTCGCCCCCTGGTGGTGAGGCCTTACCTGGGATGACTGAGATCGTTTTCAGCGCTCTCAGCACTCTAAAGGTTCGCAGCGCCTGCAGGTTGCCTACTTTGATAAACTCTGTTAGCAGCCTGCGGGGGGCAGTGTGGTGCGTGTCCACATACAACAGAAGAACACAAACAAGACAGTCTGAAAATCCTGTCGCCAGTCACAGCAGTGTGCAGAAGTCCTGATCGTGTCTCGGGCTGCATGATGATTCCTGCAGGAATGTTACAAACTTCCTGCTGCGTGAAGAGCTTCCTTATGAGGTGGCATTAACACTTCACAGGAACAACAACCAGAGAACTCCATTTAAATAACCCACATTCCCTGTAATTATGGTCCTTCCTTCCATTTTCTTCCGCTTATCCGGAGTCGGGGCGCGGGGGCAGCAGCCTAAGTTGAGAGGCCCAGACTTCCTTCTCCCCAGCCACTCTGACCAGCTCCTCCGGGGGAATCCCAAGGTGTTCCCTGACCAGCTGAGAGACATAGTCCCTCCGGCGTGTCCTGGGTCTACCTTTAGGTCTCCTCCCGGTTGGACGTGCCCGGAAAACTTCACCAGGGAGGTGTCCAGGAGGCATCCTGACCAAATTCCCGAGCCACCTCAACTGGCTCCTCTGATGTAGAGGAGCAGCGGGTCTACTCAGAGCCCCTCCCGGATGACGGCGCTTCTCACCCTATCTCTAAGGGAGAGCCCAGCCACTCTGTGGAGAGAACTCATTTCGGCCGCTTGTATCCGCAATCTCGTTCTTCCGGTCTCTACCCAAAGTTCATGACCATAGGTGAGGGTAGGAACGTAGATCCACCGGTAAATCGAGAGCTTCACCTTCTGACTCAGCTCTCTCTTCACCACGACAGACCGGTACAACGCCCGCATCACTGCAGACGCAGCACTAATCCGCCTATCGATCTCACGCTCCAGCTTTCCCTCACTCGTGAACAAGACCCCGAGATACTTAAACTCCTCCAC